GATGAACGAGGCGATGCCCATCGCTTGCGACCTCAGCACCGTCGGCAGCAGCTCGCCGACGAACACGTAGAACACCGCGAACGAGGCGGCGATACCAAACTTGCCGATCATCGCCAGGGACACCGTTACCCAGACGGCGTCTGCTGCGAAAACCACCTCTATAGACGCACCGTTTCGAACGGGCAGGACAGCGCCCGATAGAGCATCGTACCTTCTGGGACGAACATGCAAGAAACGCAGGCGACTCCGCCGAGAAGCATCGTCAGGCACAACACCCATCTTCTGCCCAGCCGATCCATCGCGTACCAAGTGATCACGTACGAGGGTATTTCGACGAGGCCACCTGTAACCCAGAGAGCCCAGAGTCGGTCGCGAATCGAGAACGATAGGCCGCCCCGCGTTCGCCTCCGCCGCGTTGCAATCGTCCAAGCATCGCTTGCGTATGCGTGTTGCGACGCGGCTGCGAAAAACATGTTTACGCGGGACAACGACGCACGTGGCGCGACGATGCGCGGCGAAGCGGGGCGAGCCGACTACTGGTAGGGATCGACGAAGGCCGGGTCGAGCGAACAAGAGAAGAAGCTTTACCGATGAAAAATGCCAGGTAATCGGAGACACCGAGATTGGTGGCGTTGTACGACAACCCGTTGTACACGACCGCGTTCGCCACCCAGTCGAACGCCAAGATGAAGAACTTTTTTCTTATGTTCGGGTTCCGTATCAGATCCATCGGGGTGGCTGCAGGCGGCGGCGATCTGTCCTCCGATTCTATCGCTTCCGGGTTCTCGCCGGAATTGGTACCGTTGCACGAGATCCCTTGCCGCCGCAGAATCTCCACCTGAAACGTGGTCGTTCCCTCTCTCTCGTTCATCCGCCGAACCATTTCACGCCGTTCGGGGGGTTACCTCGGGGGTTACTTCTTACGTTACCTCCATTTTGCGGAGGAAATTGTTCGGCACCGTTCTACCGTTGATCTTGGCCATCCGCTGAACGATCACCTCCGCCTCGTCTATCCTGTTCTTGCTGAGCAGCCATCGAGGCGACTCGGGGATGATCCAGTAGTAGCTGAAGAGGAGAACGAACGGGACCGAGGTGGCCAACGACAGGGCGAACCAGTGCCTGAGCAGGTAACCCTGAAATAGAGAGAAAAGAAGGTGGTGGTCGATCGTCGCAGGTGGTGGCCGGTTGAAATGCCGTGGTTTCAAAGTTCGCCCGGAACGACACACGCGTTACCAGTAAGGCCAGGAGAGCCATCGCCGATGCGAAGAACATGCAAATCACCATTCCAGCGAACGTTCTGTACCTCGGACCCATCAGTTCCAGAGCTGAAACGAGAAGGTTTGCGTAGAGGAACGGACGGACGAGACGGACGAACGCGTACCTAAGATGAAGGGTATTTGATAGATGGCCGGGAAGAAGAGACCGTTCACGGTCCTCAGCGCCGTGTAGATGACGTAATTGGGGCTGAAGCTGGTCGCGATCGAGAATATCACCTCGAGAAAGAGTATGGCGAAGAAGGCCGTCCTCCTGCCCCATTTGTCCGCGATCCAGCCAAACACCACGTTCCCGAACAGGCTGCCGACGTAGAAGAAGGTCGTAGAGGTGGAAGGCCACCAGCTGTTGTCGCATACCAAGTCTAGCTATGTGGATGTAGACGGCGATTAAAAGACACGCTACACCCGCCAACTCACTCTCTCCCTCCAGCCATCTTTCGTCGTCAGTGTTGGAGAGAGTTTTTGGCGGGGAAACGCGAGATATCGCGTGGCCGAAAAAATGTCGGGCCGTGACGACCCGGAACGAACGATTGCAACTATCTGCCGCGTTGCGCTTCCCGCAACAACACACTCGATACCGAAGACGATATCCCTCTCGACCGATCGAGAGTCATTGCTCCGGTTACGCGTCGCTATTACCCTCCTCCGTATCGATCCAACCTTTTCGAACCTCGTCGCCGAGCCTGTTTTCAAACGACTTTAACATCCTGCTCGTTTCCAAAGCGAACAGATTGCGCTCACGTAGACGGTGCCGACGCGTCGAGCCACCCGCTTAACGATATTCCCAGCGCGTAACACGTCAGAGCGCCGAGAGAATTCGCGTCCCTGTTCTCTCGCAATTGCTTGGAGCAGACTTTCTCTGTACCGCGCACGCTCGAGCCTCGAGCGACATCGGCGG